CAATCAATCAATCAATCAATCAATCAATCAATCAAACCTTTTTTTTTTAAGTTTTTTGTTTATTTATTTTCAAATTTTGCATCTTTATTTTTTTAAAACACCTCATACCCCTGCAAAAGACAGAAATTCATTTCTAAAAAATACAGGTGAGCTCAGGGACCATATATCTGATGATAAAAAATGACAAAAAAAAAATCCTTCTTTTCTTTATATATATTTTTTAATTTTCTTTAAATCGAATTTAGTTTTTGATTTTTAAAAAATCCTAAACAAAGTCGGATTCCAAAAAAAGAAAATGGGGTTGTAGGGCTTAAAATTCCCTACAACCCCATATATATATCTAAATTTTTTTTTGGCCTATTATTTAATTCAGGAAAAATCTGGAAAAATCGGGTCCGCGGCGTGGACCCGGTAGGCCGCGGAGGCGGCCGTGAATACGTCCGCCCTCCGAGCTCGGCCCCGCGGACGCGTCCGCGGGTGTTTCATAGGCCCCCAATACTCCTCAAGAAGAGAAGGAAGGAGGGAGAGGAGGGATGCGAAACAGAGACCCGTTCAGACCAGGACGAAGCGGAATCGGGATAGAGGGAGGTCGGGACGGAAAGAAAGGAGGAAGGAGGGAGAGGAGGGAAGCAAGGACGACACCCATCCAGATGAAGGAGAAGTGGGATCGGGATGGAGGGAGGTCGGGATTCGGGAAGGCGGGAAGGGAAAGAGATGGCAGACCAGCGATCGGGAGAAGATCAAGCCGGGACACAGGGAAGCGGTATCGGGGGAGACATCCGGACAAGGGAGAAGCGAGATCGGGATAGAGTGAGGTCGGGATTGGGGAAGGCATGAGGAGAAAGAGGTGGCACACCGGGGATCGACATAAGATCAATGTCGGGACCGAGGGAAGAGGGCATCGGGTAGAAATCGAGGGAAAAAAGGGGAAGAGGACGAGGAGAAGAGAAGAAACAAGGGAGAGGAGCCCCCAATACTCCTAAAGAAGAGAAGGAAGGAGGGAGAGGAGCCCCCAATACTCCTAAGGGAGTGAAGGAAGGAGGGAGAGGAGGGATGAGAGGAGGACACACATCAGACGCGGGAGAAGCAAGATTGGGATAGAGGGAGGTCAGGATCGGGGAAGGCGGCACCTATGTTTCTTTGACCCTCCCAACACATAGACGCACAGGTTGCAATGATGAACAACGACTCTCTCTCTCTCTCTCTCTCTCTCTCTCTCTCTCTCTCTCTCTCTCTCTCTTTCTTACTTATATGCGTACCAGTCACCATTCTCGTCAGTCATCGTCGTCGTGAGTGCATTCACTCGATTTTGCGCATCCTATGGAGGAAGTTGCGTGAGGGCAGCCGCGGAGTTGGAGATGTAGCCGTTGGTCGGTGCGTTGCTCATCCTATCTCACACACACACGTGTGGCAGTGTATATTCCCATGTTTTGGTAGATTCATTCGATTTTGCTCATCCTATCGATGGAAAACTCTCTCTCTCTCTCTCTCTCTCTCTCTCTCTCTCTCTCTCTCTATCTATCTATCTATCTATCTATCTATCTATCTATCTCTCTATCTATCTATCTATCTATCTATCTATCTCTATCTCACACACACACACACACACACGCACACACACACACACACGTGTGTGGCAGTGCATATTTCCATGTTCTAGCAGTAGATTCATTGGATTTTGCTCATCCTATCGATTGAAGTAGTGTGAGGCCAGCCGTGGGGTTGGAGACTTACCTATTGGCCAGTGCGCTAGCGGTGGATTCATTCGATTTTGCTCATCCTATTGATGAAAGTAGCATGAGGCCAGCCTCGGAGTTGGACTCTCACACATACACACACACACACACGCACGCACACGCACACACACACACACACACACATGTGGCAGTGTATATTTCCACGTTCTAGCGGTAGATTCATTCGATTTTGCTCATCCTATCAATGGATGTACCATGAAGCCAGCCGCGAGGTTGGAGACTTACCTGTTCTCTCTCTCTCTCTCTCTCTCTCTCTCTCTCTCTCTCTCTCTCTCTCTCTCTCTCTCTCTCT